GTTTCCCGAGTTAGTGTAACTTTTTGCTGGAGTAGGCCATGATAATTAAACTCAATGGGAACAACAAGAACAAATGCATAGAAATGGGCCATGTGCGAACTGGAATTTCAAGAAAGTTTGATGGTTATTTAAATAATTTCATATTTATTTTCTTTCTGGGATTTAGTTTCTTGATTTTATGTTTTTATTAAAACAGGGCTTACTTGCTATACTATTAAGCACAAGTCACCAGTTTGATTCTAACTTTAGAAGGTTAAAAACTGATCCAAACCATTGTGATTTAGCTTATGCAAAAATTCTATGGTTCTTTTCAACCATTAGATTTTTGTTTTTTTTGTCCAAAGATCTAATATTTGAAAGAAAGAAAAAAGTCTGAATTATCAGTTATTCTAAAGCACCACAAAATTCCCTAACTTATGAGCTTGAGACGGCTTTGCTTAATTGATGAAGTCCATACATAAGATTTTCATAAAAACTTTATGAGCTTGATTGGACCCGGCACCTTTTTTACTCAAATTTAACTTTACTCTTTTTCTCTTGTTTTTTTTTTATTGAAATTAGACGAGGGCTGTTTTAATTATTAACACTCCACAAATTTGTTGAATACACTTCCTTTAAAATTCTAAAATGCAGTAACTTATATGTCTTAACATCAAATGATTTATATGCCTAATATAACCTACAACTTAAAAATCTTTTTCTTCAAGCTCATAAACTTACTACCACCCTCGATTTAGAACAAAGCAAATCCTAATCACTAATAAGTCGTACCCAGTGCACAAGGCTCCCGCTTTACGCAGGGTCTGGGAGAGGTGAATGTCGGCTAGCCTTACCCCCATTTATGGAGAGGCTGCTCCCAAGTCTCGAACCCGAGACCTACCGCTCATGGGCGAAGGCACTTGCCATCGCACTAAGTGCGACCTCTCTAATCACTAATAAGTAAATACATAAAATAACAATTCTAATTTTTTTTATGGTATTTGAATGTTTGTCAATTCTTTTTCTTTATTTTTTGGTATGATAACGATTCAAAAAGAATTTGGAACCTTCAGCAATATAACATATTAAATAAGATGTTATACAAACCTATGTGTTTTGGAATGGCCTTGAGTCTTGTCCTAGAAAAGTAATGCATCTGCTTAGTGTGTTTTTTTTTTTTTTGAAATGATAATTCATTAACAAAACATAAAGTTGCATAAAAAGATTGAAATACAAAATTAAGCACAAAAGGAAGCCAGACTTGTGGCCAGAGGGAGGCTGAAATGTTTCTGTGAGTCATCTCAGACGCCGAAAGAAGTGGATAACCGTGATTTGTCATCAGTTGTCTCCATTTTAAAAAATAAAATAAAATAAAAAGATTGAAATACAAAGTTAAGCACAAAAGTAAAACTAAGGACCAGCCAAACAACAAAATAAAAATTCCAAAGCAAGGATTTAAGCTGAAAATAGAAAAACAAATCCTTGTAACCCTAACTAATCCTTTGCCGCAATAACTCCTGCCACTGCCATCAACAACCAAGGAAAAGGCAAAAACAAGCCTCGACAAATACATCTGTATATGATGAGGTTGGAGCTTCGTACTCGGGTCAACCTGCGTCATTTTCAATCAATCAAAGAATAGGTCCAAATTAACCTTCAATTCACCCGACCAACCACTATAGACTCGAAGTTCACAAATCTAGTAAGGATGGGGATGAGCACGAGCACCAACAACAATTTTTCATTTCATGCCATGAAAAATCTAAGGTGTTAGGCTCCTTTGCACTCACTACATCGATTGGGCCATTAGCTAGATAGTATTTATTTAGCTCATTTTCAACTTTGTTATTTGGTTGTTTTAGAGACATATGATCCAATTTTCAAGTTACAGATTTTATGTATGATGTGGGAATCTTATCTCTTCCTTGTATAAGAATCTCTACTAATTAATAAAATCATTTGTCAACCAAAAGAGGTGAAAAAACAAATTAGTCTTTTATCACACAAAAAAAAATGATGGGCAATAATGTAATTTCATAGGTTCAAATATTACTGTTTTTTATTAAAGCCTCACCTACAGGTGATGTTAAAATACCTCCAATATTTATATATAAATAAATAAATAACCAAAAACAAAAACCTCTCACTCCCCACGTTCCCTCTCTCCCTCTCTCCTTCTCATTTTCTAAAAAAATATGTTCATACACATAAAGTGTGTAGGCAAATGCTAGTTAAATTTAAGTAAACATGTAGCGGACACCAAATTCACATGATTCACGCTTAATATTACATGAATTTTAAATTATTTATCACTCCTCAAATTAGGAATAAGAAATAATTCACTTAATCCCAACCCACCTAATGGCTTGGGTGTGTGTGTTTGCCCATTTTCTTAGATGGCAATGAGTTTCACTAGGGGTGGGCACTGGTATCGGGTAGGTTGGTTGTGTTGGTTGTGTTGGACTTCAACTTGTTAGCTAACTGAATAGGCTCCATTTGGAATTGTTCCGACTCATTGTAGAACAAAATTGGCAAACCAACTCACGCAAACTATTCTTAGACGGGTTGGGTTGGACGGGATCCACATGTTGGGCTTAATTGGTTTTTTATTAAGAAAACTAATTAAAATGGTTTAAAAATTTTGAGTTTTAACGATAAGACAAAATAAAGGGTAAAGTGAATAGAACCAAAATTGATTTTTTAGTGTAAAAATGTGATTTTTCGTTAAAATGAATAGTACCGGGAGATTTCCGTTAAAATTCTCTATTTTATTTCTAATGTAAGTATGGGAGACAAATAATTAATACTAACGTGAATTAAGCCTAAATCATATGAATTTGATTTTGTTATATTACTACATGGTGCTAATACATAGATTTCACTATTCAAATCAGTATTGATAAACAAGTGCATTTAAAAGTTACTGAATTTTTATGTAGATGTCCATCTAATATACTTTAATACACACACACACACACACATACACGTTTAAGAATTATTGTTATTCGGGTGGTCAGTTTTAATCGGATTAATTTTTCAACCTAGTACAACTCACCTATTAAACGGGTGGTCGGGTTTTTACCTAAAAATAAAATTTAAATGTTTAGAAACCAACCCATATCAGGTGGATTGGTCAGATTGGCCAGTAGACCCACCAAAATGATCACCCCTAATTTTAATAATGTCTACCCGAACTTAACAAACGCATTGAAGTTCAACCCGACCAACACACCCAATGCTCTCCCTTAAGCGCAAAAATGAAAACGATAATTTCTGAGAAAACTTCACATTTTCGTTGGGAAAACTTCAAAAACTACATGGCTACCAAACCAAAATTTCCAAGCCCATCTCCCAGCAAGGGCAAGACAACAGAAGTACAAACCCAAACAAAAAGGTAAAACAAAGCCCAACATAAACAGAAGGGAGGATCGAAATTCAAATTCCTCCACCTTTGGTGATTGGCGTGAACAAAACATCGTATCATCACACCAACTTTGTATGTCTAATCCCACACCTATCATTAACATTTTATTTTGTCAATACACATATCATTAACATGATTGTGAAAACAAATGAAAAGAATTAATGGTTTCTACTATTTACACTTCAATAATTTTGTAAGAATATGAATGTATTCATATTCACAGTTAAGTTATTTTGTATTAGATATTAGAGGAAACTAAAGCGACATGTTGAAAAATACAAGAAGCCACATTTTTACCCACATTTTTACCCGTATTCTATGGCTTTGTACCTTTGCAATCTTTGTAACCAAACAGAATTTACCCTTTAAACCCGTAACCAAACATGGATCTTCTTCGTCCACTCCATCTTCCGCCCTCCGCAGCCACAAGTCCGCGACCACGCTACCTCATCGACTCCGCCACCGTCTGCAGGACCCAGGTCATGACTTCTGCAATCGCGAGACAAGACTCTTCGGAACAACTGGAGGTCGTCCTCAACAATCGATGTTGTTTCCGACGGAGGAAAGTCGCGGTTTGTGTAGAAGAGAGGGATTGGAGGTGGGCGGAGGATTAATATTTGGAATATTAGCAGACTTGGAAGATTGGAGGTAGCTGGAGAAAGATTTGCAGAATTGGAAAATTTACAAGTTGCCGAAGGATGAAGATAAAGTTCGTTTGGTCACAGGTTTATAAAAAGAAAGGGGTGTTTGGTTACTTGGTTATGAAACTTAAATATTTAACCCATGTTTTGTTTTCATGGGACCACATTAGTTAGTGAGTAAAATGGATACTGACTAATCAGTATCCAAGTATTATATTCATCAAAACTAAAGAAATTTAGATTTTTTCTCTCTGTTTACTCCATCATATTTATTTAGGGATAAATGTCATTAAGTAATCAATGATATATATTTAGAATTTTATTATGTCACTACTTGACTCGATACACTAGTGTCATAATACTTTTAGTTGAATTTTTTTTAAATTTCTAATCAATAGTGTTATTATATTTAATGTACTGCATCGTGTTCTTGCGCTCTAAAAAATCTCTATATTTCGTTGAGGGCTTTTAGAAACAACAATTCATCACCAAAATCATGAGCATTTTTCTTCATATAGGAGACCAGATCTTGGCCAAAAAAAATTGGAGCCGAGATCAAAAGGTGGAAAGTATTAAAAAAAAATTATTCTCATGCTCTAATTGTGTCATATATCATGTCTCGAATAGGGATGAAAATCATATTTGTTAGTAAACCCATCTATATTCGAAAGATGATACAAGCCCGATCATCCGGGCTTCCTCTCAGCCGTCCGATGAAAACGAGATTCCGTTTTAACTGCCAAAGGGGTTGAGATATTCACTTACTGTTTGGCAGCTGAGAAAGTGAGAAAAAAATATCTCCTTTACAGCTTTATGTTGTTTTTTTCCCCGTGGTTTCCTTCTCATTGCCAAACGGGGCAGGGCGTTATGGTTCTGATTGTGGAATAGAAGGCGAGCTTTGTCGTTTCCGTTAGGCTTAGCGGCGACGGTGACGCCGCCGCCGACGACAGGTCGTTTTTACCTTATCTTTGATTTTTTCGTTGGGGTTTCAAATTTCCAATGACCACCAAAGTTCTTGGTTTTGAATTTGCTTCTCTGCTTTCCCTGTTTGTCAACATACCGCTCCCCAATTGTCTTGTTGCATTGAGATTTCAGTTTCACGCTATTCAAGTCTCTTGTGCTGCAATTGTGTTTTGTGGAAGACAGTTTTTCGGAATTTTCTGTTTCGGATTGAGGATTAAAGGGCATATATGTGTAGCTAATTGGAAAATGAGATTATTGAGTTCGTTTGTGCCATTTTTCTCGCTGTGATTGTAAGATCTGAATATGTGGGTGCCTATCTTGTTTACTACATTATGGGAATTGTCTGCATTTATTACTCAACTCTGTATGCCGACCCAACGAGTCATGAGTGTAGAATCAAGATTTAGATACATGCTGTATTGTGCTTTCGCTGTTTTTTCGTTACGGAGTTTCCTGGGAAAGAGGATGTGATAGAATCCTGAGTTCTGGTGTTGTTATGGTAAATACTGCAATTAGAATGTGTGTCATGTTCTAAAATGTTGGGAGAAGTTATGGAGGAGCGCTTCCACGATTTTTCAGGTTGCTTTACTAGGCAGACCTCAACTTGGTGTATTTCTTGTTTAAAAGGCTGTGACTTTGTTAATTTTCTTCTTGATTGGTGTAACGGGTATGTTTCATTTGTCGATTAACCAATATAGTTAGCGAGGAAAGAACAGTGTTTAGCATGTCTCTCTGTTGTTTGCTAGTAATATATTGAATAACCTTGTTTTAGTATTAAAATTTGTAGGGCTGCCGTATTCAACTTTGTCGTCGTTTTTATCTGCAGATTGGCCAGCATCTTTGTGATTCAGTGCAACTGTGTGGCTGACATTGCAGATAGCACCATGAATGGCTATTTAGAACCCAGAAGGAATTTCAATGATAACCAATCTGTAGGAACGTCTGGAAGCGTATCATGTCCAATAACTGCAAGCTTAAACCAAGAAGATAAGTCCAAATCAAGAAAGCCTCGTTTGTCCTATGCTCATCTCCATCATGAGATTACAAAGAATATAAATGCTATCCCACCTGATTCTGTTGGGCACAACCAAAAGCAGCGGATTAGTAAAAGGAAAACGGAAGAAGATGAGCTTATTAAGTACATGTCAAAGTTGCCAAGTTATCTTGAGAGGGGAAAAAACCTTCAGGAGAAAGTTTTAAATATCGGTGTCCTAGACTGGGGGCGCCTAGAAAAATGGCAGCATAGCCATAAACAGATGCCATACGGAAGTAGCAGGTATTCACCGCCAAGTAGTAATACAACCTCATGTTTTTCGACAGATGAATCATCAACCCCTTCTAGCCGAGGCCACAGTTGTTCTCCTGCTTGACCACAGGTGCATCATCCTTCACTGGAATCTCATTTCATGAAATCTCCAATAGAAGGCCATTCTGAAGTCGTCAACTGTTTTAGAAAAAGGGTTGAAAAGTTTCAAGATCTTAAAGCCGACGGTAGTAGCACTTTGAATGGGCTGGAAAAGTCCATTGGAACGGTTAAATTACAACTTATGATGAATTAATGAACAAGTCACAGAACTTACATAAATCTTATTCAGAAAATTCTGAACGAGATATCCATCTGATTCAATGAAACTGTTTCATCAAAGAGCAGCAAAAGCAATGATTCTGAACGAGACATCAAGGATGCCAGAAAGTTGTTCTTCTTTTGCCTAGAGATTGTCCTGAAAGCAATGATTCTGGTGTTTCAATCCATCTGATTCAATGAAACTGTTTCATCAAAGAGCAGCAAAAGCAACCCGGGGAAGATATTCAGATAGACCCAATGAAACTCTCATGTCCTTTTCCTTCTGAAGCTGAAAGTAAAACTAGGTAAAACTAGGTATGACTGATTGCAGAACAATTAATGTCAACGAGTCGGCTATGGTGAAGAAGAATGGATCCGCAGCAGTTCAAGCTCTTGTACGAGTTGCAGTTAAGAATGGTGTGCCCCTTTTCACATTTGCGGTTGACAATGGCATTGCCATTCTTGCAGCCACAATGAAGAAGTTAAATACCTCCAAAAATGATGACTGCAGCTGCATCTACACATTCTTCAGCATCCAGGAAGTCAAGAAAAAGACTGCAACTTGGATGCATCCGGGAAGTCAAGAGTCCTGACTATGTCGGTAATGTTGTTGCTCAAATGAAGGTTGGTGATTCTCATTTCCAAATTATCATTATAAATTTTGAAATTGAAGTGCAAGAATATAATCAACCTCAAGCACCAATAAACAAACACTAATATATAATAACAATTTAGAAACAAACAGTAATAATTGCAATCGAAATTTCTTAATTATACATTGAATAGGCAAACATATATAAGTAAGCATTTTGGAATGAAACTGATGAAACAAATGACGTTTTATTGGTTTGTACATATGATAGCAAACGAATAGCTGAAGCCACACTCTATTCACAACCTCCTCAACCTTCTTTAAACTCTTGTCCTGCTCCTGCATGCATTGGAAAATATTCGAAATCACTGAAATTGAAGTAAGTTGAGACAATTTAGCTTATTGTATACATGTTTTCGAAAATAGCGTTTTTAAGGACTAATAGAAAAGCCACTTAGCACTACGGTTATGCTTATTGTACATGTGTTTTCCAAAACGGCCGGTTATGCTTGTTGTAGGTCAGGTGAGACATGCTAACAAAACAAAGGGAGGAGGAAAGCACAAAAGAATTTCAGATTGCTCAGATAATGGTATGGCGTATATATTTACAGTTTGTTGGAGATGGATATTTTCATCAGTTTATACTAAACGCTAGAACAAGTTGGAGATGGAAACATGCTAACCTCTGTCCTTGATCATTCAATTGTATCTAGTATCTGCATAGAATTCCGTCAGCTTCATTCTTTCCTGTATTAGAAATAAAAGACAGATGTTTTTTTGAGATATAATCGAGTTTAAAAAAATAAAAATAAAACATAACCTATTTGTTGGTTGAATATTAAGATCGAGAATATATAGCTCACTTGCTGTAAATTATCAACGTAGCTATTATTCAGTCCTTCGTAAAAACATTAGAAATCCCACACATGCATCAAGAATTGAAGGAGTTGGAACAAGCAGCTTGAAGCATTACCGTAGTCTCAGAAGGTTGTATATTGACGTCATCGATTAGGAGAAATACTCCTAGTCCACTCAGAAGACCATGTCATCTCTACGTTTACATACAACTGAAAGGAACCCCTATATTGGGTTTCGCCGTGAGCCCGCCGCTTTCACTAACTTCAATATAGGAGGTCTCCTAGGTTGTACATTGATGACATGATTTTTCGAGTGGACACAAAACTGACTGGAAATTAAAACCTTAAATTAAAGCATACCTTGTGTCGTAAATATTCCTCACGGTGGCATTGAGGTCCCCCATCCATTCAGCCGGTCGTTCCAACATGATGTATGGTCGATTCGGATCCGACATGATGTATACTTGCAGTAGGGGATGTGTGTCAATAAGCTTAGGAGCAAATATCTTGAAATTTTGCAAATTAATAACCCTCAATGACACCAAAGACGGCAACTTCAAACTATAAGCTTCACCACAAAAATACTTGAGGTTTGACAGATTTCCAAGCTTGAGGGAGTTCAATTTAGGTAATGCAATTATTTCATCAGTTTCTTCTTCTGCATCAACGATTTCTTCTATTTGCTCACAGTTCTGAACTTCTATGTCCTCTATACTGACAAGAAGTTTGGCTATGGAAGACGAAAACAAATATTTCAACTGGTTACAATGAACGACGTCCAACGATTTCAAGTTTCCGAAGCTGCCGCCTGTGAACATCGGTTGTGAAGTACCCGTTTCCCAAATACTTGTTAAGCTTGGCAAATAATGTAAACCCAACATCCTCAGTTCATTGAATGCTTCAACGGAGTGGATATTTTCTTCATGCCTTGGTCCCTTGACTTGGAAAATCACTTCTAATGACGCACAGTTGCTTACTTGAAGATTTTCGAGATTATCATTATCATTTGAGCCCTCAAGATTAGTTGGTGTAACCTAGAAAATTAAACATCAAATATTATTGCTAATTATAAACAGCAAGATGCATGCTAATTAAACATCATTTGATATTAACGACAAAAACAATTATATATCAATTGTAGCTCGCGATTATAACTTAAAGGCTTACCTCCAGATTAATTGGACGTGGCAATATTTCAATGCAGCGATGAGCATTCGCTCTTGAATACGGTGTACATCCACATCCAGCAGGGCACCAATTTGATGAACGTGTTGGAGAAGTGTTGAAATCATGAGTTATTGAATCCTTCTCAATGTTCTTCTCTAACTTGTTTCTCTGTGGAATTACAGCACCCAATGTCTTCAATTTCTCGCATCCTATCACAAACATATCTATTGTGGATGACCATAAAAATGTAAATCCCTCTGGACAAAGACTTGTGAGACGAGGCAGGTCTACTAGTTCAAATGTGTTCAGTTTTGGAAACAAAATCATGTCTTTTGTCGCCTCTTCTTCATTTTCCTCTGTGATTCTGAATATAGTTTCCATGTTCGGACATTCTAATATGCTTACCTCGTCAAGATTCAAAAGTTCCCTGGCAATTAAATGCAAGAACACATATTCTAGACCGAAACAAGCAAACATTTTCAAACATCTCAAATTTTGGAAGCCTTGAAATCCAGACGCAATGTTTTTCCACAAGTGTGTAAACGAACAATTTTCTATCTCCAACTTACGTAACTGAGAAAATTTTGGAAGTACTGCCTGCCCATCCATAACTGTATCGCTTTTTAGATCAAATAACACGTCCATATGCTTCATATCTATCAATGTTACCTCTTCTAAACTTTGTAACCAAGAAATACACTTTGATGGAAGTACTGCATTTTCAAATATTCCTGTAGATTGATGCTCATCCTTTGGCATTGTTACCTTAAAAAAAATGCATTCTCAGTTTAAGAAAAAATATAGACCAACTTAAGTGTTAAGAAACAATTTTAAATTTCCTAACTATCACTATTAATCAAATAAAATATTGCCATATCTGCTCAGCCATCACAGATATATATGGAGGGTAAGACATACCTCTTGGTTGGAGTATTGCTTGTTGGCTTGGAAGAAACCGACGAAATTATCTAGACTCTGGAGTCTCAGATTGGTTAATTTATGGAAAGCTATCATATCGGCTGCCTCTTCATGTTCCCTCCGCTGCTTTGAGACAATTTCTTCCATATGAACACATTGACCAATATTAAAGTTCTGGAGTTGTACCAAGTTTCTTGCTACTGATAGTGAAAAAACATATTTTAAGTTTTCACAAAATGACAAATTAAGAGATCTTAGGTTAGTAAAAAAGCTCTTCGAAAGTTGGTCGTTGGGGCATATTGCTTTTAATTGCGCCATCCCGCAGAGAAAAAGTGTCTGTATGCGAGGAAAAAGTGTATGCTGGGTCCCACTTGTTCCATTTGCAAGATACTCGGTATTTGGAAAATCGGAAACATGTAAATATTTCAAGTGTTGAAATCCCTCTTGGTCTAAATCAGTGAGGACATACAAATTATCAACCGCGGACAATTGCAAATCTTCAGATTTTTTCAACAAAAGTCTAACTGCTTGACTCTCCATCAACTCCCTTGCATCACCTTTACCAATCGCCAACTCATTTTCGAATGCACAACTTAATTCTATGTGGTAATTCAATCTGAGATGTTCCATGTGGATATTGAATCTGAGATGTTCCATGTGGATATTGAATCTTATTGGTACGCTTTTCAAGACTACGTCTTTCGGCAGCAAGTGGATGACACTGGGTATTTCTATGGTTAGAACCTTCAAATGATCAGACAGAGACATCACCTCAGCAATGCTTGCCATCCTCTTATCTTCTCCTCCTGTAGCAAGTTCCCATCTATTAAAGCTGTTAAGCATATACAACTCTTCAAGTCTACATAAGCTGGAGAAGATACCATGTGGAATCACCCGAAGAAACCTGCAATTTGTCGTATCTAATAACCTTAGTTGTTTAAGTCGTCCAATTTCCCTCGGCAACTCATGCAAGGAATCACAACCACGAAAGCTGAGGATTTCTAAATTCTCCAAATCCCCAATAACATCATTAGACAAGCCACAGAGACTAGAATTATCTAGGCACAAGGTCCGCAGGTTCTTCAGTACTCGTAGTGAGAAATCTGAACATATGCACACCAAAGCTAAAACCTTCAGTTCCTTCATCGCATTACAAATGATGTCCATGCTACCTTGTGAAAAACTTCCATCCATCATCTGTAGAAGCTCAACTGTTGGTGGGCATTTCAAACCCGCTGGAATCTCCAGATTGCGAACAAGTGAGATCGTAGTGCAATGGTGATATGTAGCTAAATTTGGCCACCCATTCTTTTCAGCATGACTGATTATCAAAAATCCATGTGGATCTCTTGAAGCAATCGATATGGCAACATCGCGCACTACGTCATGCATTTTTGTAGCATCTTTCACTTTACTAGTTAGCAACAAAAACCTTCTTTGTAGTTTGTCAACCAAAGAACGCACTCTATTTCTTGCTTCTTCCAAAGTAACGCTCCTGCTAAAATATCCTCGACCCCACCCATATCGAACCAAATACTCAATTGGAATATCATAATCTTCTTCAAATAAACAACAAAGTAAAAGACACAATCTGGCTTCATCACTATCCAATCTATCATAACTCCATTTTATGCTTGAATAAACTTTGGCGTCCAGTCCAGGGATGTTCTCGGGGAGAGAATTTCGCAGCTGTTTAAGGGCATCAACCCATTCATGCTTCCCTTTCTTTTGTAGGGCTTTTCCAACAGTTACAATAGCAATAGGCAAACATCCACATTCATTCATGACCTCTTTTGCAATGGAGCGTAAATCAAGATCATCGAAGGTTTCACCTACCATTTCTCTAAAGAGCTCCCATGATTCTTCTGTTGTTAAAGTCGGGACTGCAGTAATTTGTTGACTTCCCATCCTGTTGCAGACTTCCAAATCTCGTGATGTCAACAAGATTTTGCACCCTGGATGAGCATGTCCATAAGGAAGTCATATAGCCTCAAAATCAAGCTCTGTCCATAAATCATCTAATACTATCAGGATCCTCTCTATTTTCATGAGTCTCCCATGTAGGCTTCCTACTCTTCCAGGGTCGGATTCCACATCAAATTTCAAATCTATTTGGTCTGCAATTTCCTCCTGAATCCTCCTAGTACTTGGACTTTGAGACACAGTTGCCATTACAACTTTGTCAAACAGGTTCAGTTCTGCCAATCTTTTGATAATTTCCTTTGCCATTGTGGTTTTACCCACACCCCCCATTCCACAAATCCCGATCATTCGTACTTCTTCCTTCTTCAAACCCTCTATCACCTCATTCATGATTGCCATTCTGGACTTAAAATCCTTAAAACCTTCTTTGAAAGTTGACCATATCTCTCGTGGAGGTGCAGGATGGGCCACATCATTGAACGTTCCTTCGTTTTGAAGCTGAAGAACATGTTGTGTAATCTTATATGCTTTCCGACTCAAGCTCCATCGATACATACATCGCTGTTTCTTGTTGATTTCATCCTCAAAATGCGACACTTTTTGGATCATGTAGTCGTTCACATTCGTTAGCCAACTCTGAACATCAGGGTTGATAACTTCACCGTTCCTTTCGGCAGCATTTACCAATCCTTGCACTCTATCTTTCTTCTCAAATAGCTTTTTTATCTCACCCTTAAGACTTTCGAGGTTGGAATGGTAATTAATCAAATAGCCAAACTCTGCCCCTATTGGTGCGACCAAGTACTCTCCAATTTTTGAGGCAATTGAAATTACAATTTCCATTTCCTTCTGAAGTCAAAGACAGGGCTGGAAATGGTGTAAGTCTCGTGCTCTAGTGCCTATAACCAAAGAAGCA